TATTATAATCTATGGGACCACTATTAGATATGCATTCTATCTTGAGTAAATTGTTGTCATGTGGTACACGACCTGTAATCTCTTTTAATAGTGTATATGGACATGTTACAGACTCTTAACAAAGTTTGAACATTTCGTCAAGGGGAAAAACCTGTTTGGAGCCTTTCACTTTAAATTACAGGTAACTACAGTGAGATTTCTAGTTATACCACTTTTTTTTTTAGAGGAGGCTCTGGCATTAAAAGTTTATTTCTATCCATGTTATTCAAATATAGCACACTTACTTTATATTATACAAAGTAAGTCAGAGAGGAAGAAGGGAAGAGAAAAATTAAAGAGTTATGAATACATTTTTTATTGCAGAAAGGGCCTGAGACTCCTGGGATGTGAAGGCACACACAGGATAAATAGGCCCCACCCTGTTTTCTTTGAGAGGTTAACAATGTTTAATCTAGAACGTTTTGGAATACATACAGGTGTTCATTGAAAAAGTGTTTAGCAGTCAAGTGAATTTGAGAGACGGTGGTTTAAACAAAGTTAAACATTACTTTACTGCAGGGCTTTTCAGAGCCTTTAATCTGCTAAGTACTTATGAAATTCCAAGTGGGGTTGTGAGTAAGGGTTGCCTTCAAAACTTTCACCCAGGGCACTGCAAGGTACCGCCCCTAGGAAGGGGTGAGGAGGCGAAAGGAAGAGGAGGCTGGATAGGGGCCTCGATAGGGCGTGCTTATGGGACTTATTTCCCCAAAACATTGAACTATAGAATGCTTTTTGATGGAAATGATAATAACCTAACAGAGAACACACAGGCACAAGTGAAAAATGAAAAGTGACTTTTCTCCCAAAGAGGAAGGGAAGCTTCCCATGCCCTGAAGAGTGGGGGAGGGGGAACCAATGTTTTGAGCTCTTCTTAAGCATCACATTGGCTCCTTTACAACTACACGAACTTTGAACAATAGGGATTTTAAGATAGAAAGGGGTCCAACGCTTGGCTTTCTAGAAGAGTGATCCAAGAATGTCAGGATGTCTCAACACAAGTGTAGTGCTCAGAGAGAGAGAGAGAGAGAGGGGGCTCTTTGCAGAAGGTGACAGTGTCCCTGGGAAGTGGCATGAGAAGGAGTCATTACAGGGTCCACAAATCCATACGTGCTCCAAGCATCATGCATGGCCTACATACATAGTCTTTGTCTCGCAGTGATTTGCGCCATTCTATCTCAAACAAATAAATGCTGCTGTGATTGATAAAATACAATTAATGTAAACATCTTGCTGAATTCACAGTAACAGTCCCTCTTTAAAGATTTTCTCTATAGATGGATAAGAGTAGAGCTAATATTATGTATAGGTCCTCAATCTTTAAAATGAGCAATTTAAACATGGTTCAAAAAATAGAAAATGTCAGGAGATATAAAATAAGATAATCTATTATTTGTATCTGTAAAATTATCTCGCTTCTCGTCCCATAGACGAAGACTCTGGATAATCCTTGTTCTTAGTTTCTTAGGTAATCATTCAAGCTTTTCAGTACACACAAGCACATTCAAATGTAGATTTTTACTTTCCTCTTTCTTACAAAACAAGTAGCATATTTTATATGCTATCTTTCATTTTTTGAAAGGTCAGCTATGACTGCACTACTGTATCTTCTCTCTATCTTCTTCACCCTCACACAGCTTATAAACACTGTCAAAAGCTACCTGAACCTTGAACCACTCACAGAGCAGATGGTCTTATGTCCCGCACCTCACTTTTCCTCCCCGCCTTCATGAATGCTCTTAGAATGCTTCTGCTGACACATGTGACTGAACCTTTATCATTGCTTTGTGACTGTCCCACTCATCTGCCTGCAAGGGTAAGCTGTCTCCTGTGGAATAAGATATCTTACCATCCTGAATCGCAGAACCTACAGAGGAGCTCCCCTCTTAATGTCCACCGTCACCAGGGCAGAGAGTCACCAATGGGGTCAGAGTTGATGCTTTAAACTGGTCCAGATGCGTTGGCCTAAATACACTGAGAATTCCAGGTGCTACAGATGTTGCAGAATTGTAGTCATCGTGCCTGATTCTCTGGGCTTGTCACAGCCGCACCTGGACATCAATCTCTGACTCTGATTTAGTGTGCGCTGGGAGCCAATCCACCTGCATGGCATTTGGGTGGCCCCTGGCTGATAGTAAATTCAAGCAGCATTGGTTTCAAATCCTGTTATTTATCGAAATCCCAAAAGTTACAGAGCTTTTGAAAACTACAGATCATGGTCTCTACCCAGCCCCATCTAGGGATCCCTCAAATCCCTAGGGGTCACTGTACGTGTTGTGTTTCTAAATACACTGTGAGATTTCAGTGATACCCCAAGAAGGAAGATGCTTAGGTGGGTCTCACGGCCTTCATGGATGCTGTAATCTGCAGGAAGGGTATGATGGGCAGCCCATCTTCAATATGTGTACAGTTCGGTTGCACTCCCTTTTAGTAAAACTTTGAGGAAAACAATCTTTATTTCTAATTCTACTTGGCTTGTAAATTTGGACCTACATAGGAAAGGAATCACTTAGAAATGGAAAAGAAAGAAATTAAAATAGTAGAGGAATGGAGGGTTGTTCAACCAAAGGAAAAAATAATCTGTTTTTCAACAAGAAACAGTGAATATGGCAGGAAAAAAAAAGTGATTCACCTGAGCTGGGTGAAGTTAGAAAGAAAATTCAAATTTGGATGAACACAATGTTGATATGAGGGAGAACTACATAATCAAGGGACAGAACACTTGAAAGACAAGGTATAGGGAGCCTAGCAGACAGATACTCAAAGTCAGATTTGTTCTCTGTCTAAGATTTGTATGCCAAGTGCTTTGCAGCCTATAGAGAGATGTGCAGCAATCATTTATTATTTTTGATTATTTTCATCAACTCTTTTTTCCTGGACAGTGCTTATTTTTGATAATAATTAGTGGTAACTACTAATTAGTAGTTAGTTAATTAGAAAACTAACTTTATGGGAACTAACCTGGTTAGACACCATCTTAACCATAAGATCATCAGTAACTGGACAAAACCACATTATGTGCCTCCTGATATGATGCACTGAGGAGGATAGAACCTTACTTCTGCAGTTTCCTTAGTAAAAATGCATCAATTATGTCTCATTATGAGGAAATACCAGACAAACCCCAAATATGGGTTATTCTATAAAATAAATGGTCTACCTTCTTCAAAAGTGTCAAGGTCATAAAACTAAACCAAATGCAGATTAAGAAATGATTCCAGATTTAAAAGAGAATAAAGAACCATGGTAATTAAATGCAACATATGAGATTGGATTGTTTCCTGGAATAGAATTTGTTTTTAATGTAAAGGACAATTTTGGGATAATTTGCAACACATGAGTAATGTCTGTAAATAGTGTTATACCAATGTTATTTTCTGATTTTAATAATTATACTATAGTTCTATAAAAGAAGTCCTAGATAATAGAAAACGCATACTAAAGTATTTGGGGATGGTGAGGCATTCTGTCTATATCTTACACTCAAATGGCTCAGGAAGAAATATAAATATAGTAGAATTCTAAGATAGTTCCCAAGCCTTCTACACCCTGGTACACATGCCTTGTTAATTGTTTCTCCATAGGTTTGAGCAGAATGTATACGTATGATGGGAGACCACTCCCATGATTTGATTACTCATCGGTTGACTTTGAGTTAATCCAAAGGGAAATGATCCTGGGTATGCCCTGCCTAAGCAGATGAGCCCATTAGATGAAGACTCTATGGTGCTGGAGAGCAAGCCAACATGCTGTGGAACTATGGGAAGAGCCACTTGGCAGAAAATGCCAGGAAGCCTCTAGGAGTTAAGCCTGATCCTTGGCTGATATCTGGTGAGAAAATGGGGAATCTTAGTCCTACGACCACAAGGAACTAAATTCCACAAACAGCAAGTGAGCTTGGAAGAGGGCCCTGAGCCTTGGGTGAGAGAACAACTCCAGCCAATACCTTGAAGTCAGCCTGGTGAGACCCTGAGTAGTAATCTCTGCTACTCTGCACCTGGACTCTCGACACATAGAAATTGTGAGGTAATAAAGTGTATTGTTTTAAGATACTAAATTTGTGGTAAATTGTTACATTGCAAAAGAAAACTACTATGATATCTAAAGCAAATATATCAAAATATAAACAACTAGTAAATCTTGGAGAACAACTTGGAGAAGTTCTTTGTACATTTTTGTAACTTTTCTGTAAATCTGAAATGATTTCAAAATAAAATATTCTCTAAGGGATAACATATATACACGGCTTACCATATACCAGATGCTGGTTAAAGTATTTTTAAATGTATTAATACATAAATTTTCATCAAAAAACAAATGACCCTTCTCCATGACTTGTTTTATAGATAAGGAAACTGAGGCACAGGGAATTCAGATGACATGGCTGAGGTCCCACAGGCAGTAAAAGGCAGAGCTGGGGCTTGAATCTTGCTTCTGGGTTCACATTCCTAAGGACTCTTCCATATTCTCAGTGACCCTGAAGTGATATCAAACCAACTGAGCCAGGGAACCAGGTGAATGTGGTTAAGCCTGACCCCGCAGGACCCTGAAATCCGTAGGGCATGGGAAATCATTTTTGTTTTACCCTCTGTCTTTTTTTTTCTTTTTTTGAGATGGAGTCTCACTTTGTTGCCCAGGCTAGAGTGCAGTGGTATGATCTCAGCTCACTGCAACTTCTGCCCCCTGGGTTCAAGAGATTCTCCAGCCTCAGCCTTCCAGGCAGCTGGGATTTCAGGCACGTGCCACCACACCTGGCTAACTTGTGTATTTTCAGTAGAGAAGGGATTTCACCATGTTGACCAGGCTGGTCTTAAACTCCTGACCTCAAGTGGTCCACCTACCTCAGCTTCCCAAAGTGTACCCACAGGCATGAGCCACCAGGCCCGGCTTCCCTTTTTCTTTTATTTACCATGCAAGCACTTATAGTCATGGTATGAATATCACAGCAGGATGACTCACAGCATTGGGATTTAAGCAATAGTATATTTGGCGTATATTGACGACTTTATGTATTATCAGAGGTATTCATATACCATAACTTGCCTTATCTATCCCCAAATCTAAAACCTCCATAATATATCAAGCTCACAAATGTTAAGTAGATGAAAAACACGACTGGAAGGGAGAACAGATTGAGCATGTAAAATGGAACCTAGAATAAAAACATAAAAATAAAGGCATAAAGATCAATGTACTTAAAAATCAGTCAATAATGTACTTCCAATCTTCTTGCATATTGATTTCATACATTTATCATATTTCAGGCTTTGGAATAAGATGAAGTCACCCAAACTCCATTGTGAAATCTAGTCTCCTCACAATCCGTCTGACCTCAGAGAGGCAAACAGTGAGTAATTCAAAATATTTTTGAATGAAAGTGTCAGTTTAAGATCCTCAGCATAAAACATACCTACAAAGCCTATTTGCAAAGTAAATTTACTCTGGATTCTTGATACCTATGAAAGTTTTTTCTATTATATTTATTTAAAATTACAACAGTTTACATTAGAAACAAGCTCAAACAATTAAGGTAAAAGATAAATAACTGCATACAGTTTAATTTTACAAAATGCAAACATACATCTTTCATTGTTCCATTATCTGAGTATTAAGCGCCACATAATTGCACGAGGCATTTTCAAATGTCTTAAAGGCTCTAAAATTACAGAGTTGACTTTTGTGAAATAGTCTTTATTTTCCTCCGTTATTATACAAATAATTGACCACACAGATTAAATTTAAATCGGAATTGGATATGCCCCCTACAGAGTTCATTTCTCTTGTGCAGCTAAAGGTTGGCAGCTTATGATGGCTCACAGAGCTTACTCAGGCCCTTGTGGGATACAGAATGGGGCTCACATTTTCATGATTTAGGATGTCTCGGCTGGGAGAGACCTGAGAATCCCCTGGGATCACATCACATCTAGTTTTGCCCAAGGCCACCTCCTTGCTAGCTAACCCAAGCTAATTCTAATAGTGCTCCTTTTCACTCTGAGAAATGTCTGTTTGGGAGATGGTACAGATGAGGAAATGGAAGCCTCAGGATGTAGGTTCTCTGGACCAGACTCCTGCAGCAGAGACCTGTGTTTCCTCCTGGGGATTCAGAAACCCAAGTCCCCCTGCCTTCAGAGGCGCTGCCACCCTACATTGTGGGACCGAGGTGGGGAAGCAAAGGAGCCATTGCTTTCATCCTCGCCGTAGAATGGAAAACAATTCATCATCATCAAAATTACTCACCAAACCTGAGAGGATGGCAGAAGAAAACATGTTTACATTATTTTTTCTTTCATTAAAAAGCAACACGTGTTTTTGCCAATCGATTGGAAAACACAGATACAGAAAAAGGTAAACAATTCAAAGAAAACTCCCTCTTCTAGAAATAGTTAACAGTTACTAATTGTAAAGACACATAGGAGTTTCAGGAAGTGACTCCAATTCTTGGTGTAAGAGAATATTTTCATGGTGTGTTCCACTTTGAGAAACTTGATCTGGTGACTCAGAATTATTTCTGAAACAATACCCCCTTCCCCCACCCTCAACTCAATTTCTTCTAATTACTCTCTGAGATATTTGCCTCTGACACTCACAAGGGAAGAAGGGGAGAGGGAAGGAAGAAGAGAGGAGGAATAACTTTAATTTTAATTGCCAATATGCCAAGAGTGGAAAGATGGACCTGGGTCTCCTCTGGTACAGTATCAGGACTGCATGGCACACGGTGGCAAGGCCCATGCCGGATGCCCAGTGTCAGACGCCATGCTGGGAGGAGGGGAACCTTCTGAATGGACAGCCCTGCTCAACTCCTTGGGCCTAATGTGGACTGGGAAAATAGATCTGATTCCACCCCTGTTTCTGCAGTACTCAACACGACGCCAGGCCTGTACTGGGTGTTCAATGTATTTTTCTTGAATGAGTTAATGAGGATGATTTTCACAAATTTGTTGTTGTTGGGCTCATTCTAGTCCAAGTTAGAAATATAGATCAAAGTGTTTCCAGGTGGTTTCAAATTTATTTTCTTCCTGCAAATGTGTATGAACATCCAATTAGTCTGTCAGACACTGGAGATACCAGGGTGCATAGGAAAAGGTAACTACTTTTGAGGATCCCAGAGTCACCTAAATAACCAAATACCAGAGAGAACGTGGTGTAGTTGACCGATTTAGTGAGACATCCTTGGGTTCAAATCCTAGCTCTGTATTCACTAGTTTTGTAATCTTGAGCAAGTTATTTATTATTTTTAATGTCCTTTCAGCAGGGCTGACGATAATGTTAATTCATAGGTTGTTTGAGGATTAAATGTGATAACTGACGTAAAGCCCTTGGAAGACTGCCCAGCACATGGCAAGCCTTAGATGAAGGCGACTGCTACTACAATTTAACAGCTGTGCAATCTTGGGCAGGTGATACTTGCTGCATCTGTTTACATAGGTGGAAAATGAGGATGGTAGCACAATGATTCATCGTGACTCTTAAACGGCAAGACTTTTGTTGTTTGCATGTGACTACAAGGTATGGGTCTCCGTCATGGCCCCTGATTTAATCATGGGGACACTAAATCTCCCAGGCTTTAAGCTGGACCATCCACTCAGACATCATCCAAGGCAAGAGTTGGGGCAGAAGCCCTGGGGGTGGGGCCAGCACACCTGGGCCCCCATCTGTAGTGGGCAGTGGGTCCTGGTGCCTGGCCAGAGGGCTTTGGACCTCTTTTCCCAGCTATGTGCCCTCGTTTCCCAGAGGCTGCAAGCTCTGTTGATGAAGATTCATTTGCAACCTTCAGAGATTGCCCATGGGCACTAGAAAATCCTTGAAAACACAGAGAGAGACCCTTCACCCTCTTGACCAAAAACTCTGCCTTATAACTTACTGTTAAGCGCTCCCTAGGGAATCAGGCAGAGGCTAGGATTGCACCTGATATCATGTCCTCATTTCACTTCCTTCCTCTCCTTGTCCTGCTCCCGGATTCCTTGTCAGTCTCTCCTGGGAGTGCATGCATCCTCCCACTTGAACCCTGGGCAGGATAGGGTGTGCTGCTGAGAGAGCCTAAACTAAAACTGCACCTGAATGATGCTGATCACATAAAAGGCCTCAAACTAATTCATGGCACTTGATCGTTCATCGATAATTCCAAATCCCAGATGCCTTTCCTGGGAAGTGGGACTGAGCTGAAAGGCCAGCGTCACCAAGACAATCCTGTTCTTAGGTCTCTTTCAAAAACCATGAGCACTTTCTCTATGTCAAACTACACACCTACAGGGACTTCACTTCCCTTATTCATTTATTGAAGGCACAGTACTGCTCAGAGCCTGTCCCAGATCTCCTGGATGATGAATATGTGAGGAACAAATATGTGAATTCTATGTTTCACTGTTGCAACCTCATTACATCCTCAGAATAAACTTGAGAAATAGGCGTTATGATATCCACTCAGCTGATGAAGAAATTGAGAGGTAGAGTAATTAGTTCCTGCCCCAAGATCACTCCGCCAAAAAAGATGAGAGCTGGGATGTAAAACAGGTCTGATAAGAAATTTGTTTTATTAGACTTGATTGTGTTCTTCCCACGAAGTTCCTAAGCTGGGCACTGTTAAACATACAGATTCCTGGGCCCTTGAACATACAGCTTCCTGGACTCCCTTTCAGACCTCAGATAATGGAGTCTGGAAATGCCAAGGGCTTTTCCTGGCCATCAACATTTAAGAATTAGAGGGCTAGCCAAGCAGAATGGTGTACACCTGTAGTACCAGTTACTTGGGAGGCTAAGGCAGGAGACTCACTTAAGCCCAGGAGTTCAAGACCAGCCTGGGCAACATAGCAAGACCCACTCTCAAAAAAAACCAATACACACAATTAGGGAAAAAAATCATGGCATCTAGAATGATATTAGAACTGCTGCTTATTGGGACAAAACTATGTAAATTTCAAATATAAGTGTACGTATACTTTATACATGTAAATATACATATATATACATATATATACATACATACACCACACACACACACATATGTATATATATGTAAAATGAGCTAATTACCAAGTACTAGCAAATGGGCCTGTTACCAAATACTTGGTACTTGGTTCAACCTTTGTATAAATTCAGGCTGTAGGACCTTGCTTTCTACAGGGTGACTTCGTTTCTACAGACTCACTGTAGTCTCAGGCACACTCAAGGGCATCTTCTTCTCCTCCCGCCCTCCAAACCTTCCTCTGGCCAGCCTAATGTCAGTGAGTTATAATAGTGTAATAAGACAGAAGGGCTCATGGGAATCTGAAGTTTAGGGTTGCCTTTGGTGTTCTTGTTAATACTTTTCTCTAATTGTCCATTACGATACCGATCCTTAGTCTATGGTCTTCTCCTGCTTGTCTTCTCTTTTGGTGTTGTATTAATCATTGCCTTCTGTACTAGGATGCTGGTTCAAAATGTACGGAGTGGCCAATCGATTTATTGCTGTGCAGGAAAAGGAATGGCATACAGAAGACTCCCCGGAAGATTCTCATCAAGCAAAGTCAATTAGACTTGCTGCAGCATGGGAGAAGATTGCCTTGCAAGTCTTAACATCTCAGAATAAGAAAGTCATGGGAGGGCATCTGTAGAGTTTTGGGGCCTGGACAGTTTTGACATAATAGCTGTAGATTGGTGGGAATAGTCAGGCCAGGGTTTTGAAGTGAGTTTTGGTGAGCAAGTGTTATTCTTGATTAATAAGCTATTTAGTTGATTCAGAGTCTTATCTCCCAGGATAAGGATATTCCTGGAGCAGAAACTCTTTCTGCCTATTCCTGTATTGTTTAGCACAGGCACAGGAAAGTGTACTAGCTTCAGTATTGTTCAACAGATCTTGGGAAATCATCTTGGCTTCAGTTCTCAAGAAGGATAAATTACTTGCACTGAGATAAAAATGTAGAATGTGACCTCTAGGACTAATTAAAGGGTATGTATGCAATCGCCACCAATTTCAAATTCCAGTGCAATTGCCTTTCAAGAACTCCAAATGCCTCATTTCTGTAAACTTCCACCCAGACATGATGTGCTGAGCTGATGAGCTCCGTGACAAGTTGAAGACACTCAAGAATGTGCCTTTAGAGATCAGTTGTTAAACACAGTGGTCAAGATTCCTAGAGTCCACAAACTCCTGGGAGGATCATGGGTAAGAACGTTGAGTTAATCAATTTCCTTTAGACACCAGTGAGAATCAGAGCTAAAAGTAATAATTTGTCTCTAAAAATAAAGAAAATTGTATTTTTTTGCATAGCTGCTCTTGTGCCCTGAGTTTGTTCAAAATGTATGTGTGTGTGTGTGTGTGTGTGTGTGTGTGTGTGTGTTCTTAGCTTGGATTGCCCTGAAAGCAGACCAGTGACAAAGATGTGAGTGCAGGTAATTCACCTGAGAGATGATCTCAGAATACCAGGAGGGGAGTAGGAAAGAGCGAGACGGGGAGGAAGCAATCCAGGCTGCAGCATCAAGTGTGGAAAGAGGAATGCCCCAAAAGTAAATTGAACAGAGTCCTGGTTCTCAGGAGGTTTGCATTCACCAGCAAGTTAAAACAACAGGAAGTGTGCACTTCAAATAGAGGAACTTGAAACAGCCAGAATCCTTTGTGGCCAAGAGAAACGCAATAAAATACCACACCAGCCCTTTCTTCTCAGCCTGGCATTGGAAGTTGTTTGCAAAGGTTCAGGTTTAGGTCACATTATTGACTTTTGAGCTCTTGACTTGGCCTGTCAAACCCTGGGTAAGACGTTCTAGCTTCTTACATACTCAGCAAAAATGTCATTTGAGAGTCAGAAGGTCCGAACCAACTGTGTCTCCTTTCTTCATTTAAGAGGAATTGTGTTGGACCTGATGGACAGTTGTGCTTTCTCAGTGCATCACCACTAGGTCATCTGAGGCAGAAAACAACAGAAGCTTCTGGCCATATGGAGTCACCCAGCTGGGCAGGGATGCAGATGCCATAATGAGAGGCAATGCAATTGTCTCCTGTTCACACCTCATTGCTTCTCTCTCACCTGGGCTTTAGAACCAAGTGGGCAGTTTCTTGTCCAAAGAGTAGGTTCTAAAAAACATGACAAATGTAAATAGATGGTTGCCTCTGTCACTAAGAAATTGCTTGTAACAAAGGAAGACTTCCCACTTTGCAAAAGGCCAGTTTCCCTCCGCCCTGTGAGGGTGGAGTGTCTCTACCTAGTCTCTGCATGTTCTGCTTTATTCCCATTAGAAAAAGGGTATTAGTCAAACTGGAGTGAAATAGAAATGTGGATTTTTTTAAAAAAAAGTTCAGTTTTAAATGAGCAATGAATTCAGCTTGATCTCTATTTTTTTTAATTGTTGATTAAAATGGAGATCTGGAGGCACTGACATTCTCCAATATCAAAGCGAGTTGCCACAAGGGTCAGTAAAGAAAATTACTGGGACAGGAATGAAGACACAGTCATATAACAAAGGTGTGCATTAAAAAGTGACTTCAGGTTAGATCTCATTTGATCAGAAAAATAAATTAATGAGAAAACCTTGTGCAAAGTATAAATCTACCTGTACCCGGTGAATCTGAGTTCCTCATTCTCTGTCCGTTGAGGATAGAACCTTTCTTCAACCCCCTGGACCACACACAGGATCAAAGGCAGGAATGGAGTCCGCATTTTCCCCTTCTCTTGATTTGCGACTTCCATATATTCACTTCTTTTCAGCGTTTCGTTCCAAAGCAGCAATACTTGATATTTTCATAAGGAAGCTACTCTATTTTCTCAGGCCTTGAGATCATGGAGGGCTGTCGAGAGAGCTGGACCAGAGCAAGGAGCCCCAGAGAAAAACAAAGAAAGGGGATTCTCCTGCTACCCACATGTATTGGAACAGGTCCAAGCTGTGCCACTGTAACAGGAGACTTCATATCCAGTGGCTGGCACACGATGGAAGTTCACTTCTCCCCCAGGTAGACAGTTTTCCATCCTCAAAGCCTGGCTTCTGTCTTTCCATGCAAACTGGCTGCTTTAGCTTCTTTATCCCTCAGCCAGTGAGAAAGAGGAAGAAGGCTCCTCTCCTTTTTCCCCTAGAGGGCTGTTCACAATCTCTCTGCTTGCATCTCAGTGGGAAGAATTTAGTTACATGGTCACAAGAACTGCAAGAGGTCCTAGAGCTGTATCTGCACCTTTGACTAAAGAAGGAGTTAACGGCTCATCATCACTGGTCATTAGAAAAATGCAAATCGGCTCACGCCTGTAATTCCAGCACTTAGGGAGGCCGAGGCTGGTGGATCACTAGGTCAAGAGATCGAGACCATCCTGGTCAACATGGTGAAACCCCGCCTCTACTAAAAATACAAAAAATTAGCTGGGCATGGTGGCGCGTGCCTGTAATCCCAGCTACTCAGGAGGCTGAGGCAGGAGAATTGCCTGCACCCAGGAGGCGGAGGTTGTGGTGAGCTGAGATCGCGCCATTGCACTGCAGCCTGGGTAACAAGAGCGAAACTCTGTCTCAAAAAAAAAAAAAAATACAAATCAAAACCACATTAAGATACCACCTCACACCAGTTAGAATGGCGATCATTAAAAAAACTGGAGACAACAGATACTGGAGAGGGTGTGGAGAAATAGGAACACTTTTACATTGTTGGTGGGAGTGTAAATTAGTTCAAACATTGTGGGAGACAGTGTGGCGATTTCCCAAGAATCTAGAAATAGAAATACCATTTGACCCAGCAATCCCATTACTGGGTATATACCCAAAGGACTATAAATCATTCTATTATAAAGACACATGCACACGCATGTTCATTGCGGCACTGTTCAACATAGCAAAGACCTGGAACCAACCCAAATGCCCATCAATGATAGACTGAACAAAGAAAATGTGGCACATATACAGCATGGAATACTATGCAGCCATAAAAAAGGATGAGTCCATGTCCCTTGTAGGACATGGATGAATCTGGAAACCATCATTCTCAGCAAACTGACACAAGAACAGAAAACCAAACACCGTATGTTCTCATTTATAGGCGGGTGTTGAACTATGTGGGCACAAGGAGGGGAACATCACACTCTAGGGTCCGTTGGGGGTTGGGGGGCTAGGGGAAGGACAGCAGGGGTGTGGGAAGGTTGTGGAGGGATAACATTGGGAGAAATGCTTGATGTAGGTGATGGGGGGGGTGAAGGCAGCAAGCCACCATGGCATGTGTGTACCTACGCAGCAATCCTGTAAGATCTGCACATGTATCCCAGAATCTAAAGTACAATTTTTAAAAAATGAAGGAGCAGGTGTATATTGACAAACAGCTAGCAACTACTGCCATTTGAAGCCTTTCCCTTTGCCAGTAGTTTTAGCAAACTCTGGATTTGCTAACGTAGTGCATGTCAAAGAGGCTTCACTTCTTGGATAACTGATTTCTTGGCATTCACCAACCGGGGCCATTTCATTATGAGGTCAGTCCTGGGTTAGCAACCAAGAGAGTTGTAATGGGTAGTGGTGATGGCCTTCAGCCTGGGATTGAAGAGGTGTGACGGCCACTGTGTGTATTAGATACCCCCTGTGTTGTGGGGGTGGAAATGTGTATTTGAGCATCTTGCTTTCACAGAGAATACAATAAATGTGGTCACTTTCTATATATTAATGTTTCTTCATTTTGATATCTTTATGTTGCTTTCTTTGGTATACCCATCAGCTTCCAAAGAACACAAAAGCCCTTGAAGAATAGAGCCCATAGCTGTCAGAAAATATGCAGCATCCATCTCAGGTAAGATACGCATTTGCAAGTCAGTAGAAATTCAAAGCATTCTCTGAAAACATCATTCATTAGTTACAATAAAAAGAAAACAAAGTGCCCAGACTTTCATCTACAGCCACAGGATGCAGTATAATCACGAAGATCTGCAGGTGTTTGGCTGCCATCCTAGATGTCTCCGCCTCTCGTTCTATGGCGGCTTTTGGAGACTTTCCCTCCAGTGACAAGGAGCAAGGGAAGGCGGGCTCCGCTCAGCTTTCCAGCAGCTGCTGTGTAGTACCTCCTTCCACCTGCACCGGTTTTGTTCCCTTGCATTCTTCCTAGTTAGAAGAGACCACAGCACCGCACTGGGAAACCTTTGCGTCTTCCTGTTTTTACATTTAGGAGCAGTTGCATCCCTTGCTGGCGATTGTACAGAAGCTACAAGCTACTAGTGAGGGGCAAAGAAAAAGGCAAAGCACCATACACAGAAAGCTGAAGAAATCCAGGTGTTACCTTTCTATACAGCTGAACTTCTTGACTCACCCTAACTGTAGCAAACATTGGCTGAAGCTGCAGAACTTCGGCCTTAGGCAGGCCTGGAGTGTTATCTCTGAGAGAAAGGACAGACTGAAACATCATCTGAAGGTGGACCGCACAAAGCGTTTTGTTTATAAAGTCATTCTTTCCCTGGCTTTCTGTTGCTTACTCTTGAACAACTTTAATTTTCAAAGATTTTATCCTCCTTTAAAAGAGTGATTCACAGTCCTTACATAAGAATAGGATACCACATAAAGGTAGAACAATGAAAAAGATAGTCACTCATACTTGTATTTGAAGTCACTCCAAGCTCTTGTGTACATAATTTTTTCATTCTATTAGAGTCAAATATATCAGAGCAAATGTGTGCCTTTTTTATTTAACATTTTACTGTATTCATTGTTTATGCTATTACAATTCTTTTGTAAGCATCACTTAAAATGTTGCCTGAGTGTCTCTAGCTGATGTCATCGCTTGCCCTGCACTAATACACTTTCCTCATTCTGATTAGCCTGGTCTCTACTGTATCTAGAACCATCTGATTATTCTGGAATGCCCTAACTTTCTGCAACAACTCCTTTATTCTTGGAGCTGGCTTGGGCCCACCCATGCAGTAGAGTGGGTGATACTTGCATTCCAGGTGCAGTTCTGCCACCAATCAACCTATGAGAAGCCACCCAACCCTTCAGTCATTCGCTGCTTTGCTACAACAGCAAATGTTTTCTGATTCTCAATGCCAAGCATCACTCCTGCATAAACAAATACTGAGGAAACAAAACGTTCTTCTGATCTATGTGGCCCTGTACCAGGCAGCCCCCTTCAGCCTCTTGCTGTAGAAATCACTCTGGTCAACTTCAGTCTCAAAGAGAAAGGGTGGGGGCCGGGAAGGGAAACCACAAAACCTGCAGGGGAGGACCTCCTGTGCAACAGTGCTGCTACATGAGGGGTGTGAGCTGCAGCCATCCCTCCTCCCTGCATCTGGGAAGCCACTCATTCAATGTGTAAAATACTGGAAAGG